TCAAAACCCCCAGTCCCTGAAAATTGCCAACTCTCTTTGCAGAGTAAATCCCCAAAACTCACCTAGGGCAAGGTTGTTCTAATGGTTCCAAATTCCACTGGGTACTGCCCCCCAACCCCCCAGCCCCTCCCCATTACGAAACACCACCCTCACTCCACCTTCAGGGCTTCTCAGTGAAAAGCTGCTGTCTTTTTTCACTACTAAAGAATACTGCCGTCTTCAACAGCTGAGGTGAAAAGAAATGTAGCCATTGATGAGAAAGAATCTATTGATTTTGAACATCCTACCTAGTCTAGATGGCTTGTTTTATCATGGAGTCCATTTATTATTCATTTCACATAAAAGTCAATCTGGGATTTTTTTTAAGTGATCTCCCATTTTTAACAGTATGTTTTCTGAATTTCAATCAAGCAGAGTGAAGGTTCTGCATTTTATTTTCATGTCTCTCTTTTTTTCACTGTTTCTTTTTGCATTTTTTCTGTAATTGTAAATATTCCTCTGTGCGTATATAAAAAGTAAGCAGAATACCTTAAGCAGTAATAGGAAAGCTACGGCCTCCATAAGTTATCTGTGATCTGTTTTGATGGAATTCTTGTGATGCACACATACTGCAATTTTCCTATTGGAGAAGGGCGAGCCAGTCAAAGCAAATGCCCTTTCAATTCCATTAGCAGTTGCATCAGTCTCTTAATGGAGAGTAAAATGGCACAAGACCTTTTGCAGTACTTATACAATGAATATGAAAAGGCTTTCACTAAGGCTGCCAAGCTTAGTGGGTGCAAAACGGCTTTTAATTGTGTCCCAACTCAGTGTTGGAACATTATGCGCTGTATTCCAGGCTTGTCAATGCTTTAATCAAAAAAAAATATTTTCAAAGGATGAACATCATAGAAACCTAATTGGTCTAAATGCCCCAGTATCAAGAAGGGGTATGAAACAGATTCTAGAAAATGTAGTGATAGCTTAACTCAGCTTACTGACAGTGATAGCCTCTGTTACAGTTATTCAGAATGGACCAAATCTGTGAACAGACACATCTAAGCTGTTTTAGGTTGTCTGCTTACCGAGCAAAAAATGTCTTCTATAAAAACTGTGTAGGGGTGTCGTCCTAGACTTTTCTGGTTCACTAATACCGCTCAGTGCACTTTTCTCTTGTAAACACACTGCAGTAGGAAAGTCTTCAGATCACAAACTTCTAAAAACAGAGTATTAAAAGAAATTAAAAACAAAGATCCACCCTCGTTGGTGTTTATGCAAATATGCAGGGGCTTCATAAATCTACATTTGATACCGCAAGCATCATTAAGATGAGAATGAGTCTGTCATTTCAGCACTTGCATGCAGTATTAATCACAAAGGTCCTTTTAAACCATGTTGCTGATGGAGATGATGACAAGCTGAAGTTGAGGAATTATGCAAAGGAGGCATCCGTCTTGATCTGATTTCAAAGCAAAGCCCCATAAACCACACAGCTGTTTCATCTGCCTTTCTAGTCACTAAGTCTTCACATTAAAGGGCAGCTTAATTCCCTCTGTGTCTTGATGGAAGACAATGCCAGGTTTCTTAAAGGGTCATTGTTTTAGTTTGCTTCTTCTTTTTTTTTTTAAACACACAGTCCAACATCTGCTAGGCCGTGGATAATGTAAATGAAATTGCTATGGCACCATAAGCCCATAATTTAGCATGGTTTGCTTTTCAAGCCTTCAACTCTGACAGTGAAGTTCACAGAGAATGTGCAGTGGACTGCTACTCTCCTGCTACCACTTTTTCCTCATTGGTTAACATGGAATCAGAAGGAGAGAGGGTGTCTCAGACCATGTCCTGAGTGAAATTGGATTCAAACTCACATCTCAAATTAGAGACCAGAAACCATTGCACCTCATACTACTCCGATATAAGAACACCTACTGTGTGCAGCGAAATTGATCACGTGAAAAAAAAAGTATGTGTTGTTATGACCTACACATACAGCCTAGGATTTCAGAATGTTCTGACTTGAAAGGCTCGATATATGAAATGTAGCATGCTATTAAAATGTTGATTCTTATAATAAAATACAGACAAGTCTCACTTAGAAGCTCACCATTTGATCTTAACCAGACAAAGATTAAGGGGATGACATATGTTGCATAATTAAAGTCCACACAGAGTTGTGTTTCAGATATAAACACTTAAAAGAGCATAACGCTGTGATATATCTCAGTGCAATTCTTCAAAGACTTAGGTGGTCAATAGGGTTACTCCCTAGATTTATACTGTGTATGTGCTGATATAGAGAGACGCCATTTCATCAAGCTTCCCAAGGCTGTCGCTTCTCCCTCGGTGTGACATCGAGAATCTGGTATATTTACCACATTTTGAGACAGTTTTTGGCACTTTCTGTTTAGGTAAACCATTGTTTTTTTTTTGCTCAGTGCCTGCTACATCTGTCTTTGTAACAGGCACCTCAGTGGATTGTGGCACAGCAGCCTTGTAGCAGTTTGTAAAGCACTGCATAGGATGCAGCTTAATGTAGTTCATGGGGTTTTATGTTCTCTTAGTTCATTGTGGGATTATACATTCAAATGCTGCATGACAAATCCTACTCCTTTGAAGGTTTGGGGAATTTTGTATTTACTGAGCACTTTGCTTAGCATGTGCTCTGAGATTTAAAAAAAAATAATGAAACAGCTTATTTTCATGTTATAGTTCAGGCATGCCTTTAACATGTTGAATCATCAGAAATTGATTCAGGAGTAATCAAACTGATGACAGAGGAAGTGTTCAGGCTCATCTTTTTGCTTACCGTGGTGGCACTGCTCCCAAAAACCATAATCCACCTGCGCTGCGTACCACATTTTTATGGGTTTGAAGTAAGTTCCATTTTCAAACTCTCAGGGTAAGTTGCAAAATAAACAAGAGTAATTAAGGCATTAAAATAAAGATTTGTTCAGATCTCCCATGTGCAGTATTTATAATGTGTGACGGTAGGACAGATTGTTTTTACGGACTGATTTTAGTGAAATATTTCATTTGATTGGTTGGAGATTATATTCAGCTTCGTTAAAATCCTTTTGTAGTCCCTATAAAGTAATGTGCCTACGTTTTGCTTTTTAAAATAATACTTTCTTGCTGTAAACATTTCACTTGCTTCCACGTTAGATACTTCCTTGTGTTATCGTCTTGATTGTCCCCTCAGCTGCATTCTCCTTTCCTGCTCATTGACATTTCACTGGTACACTGGTGCATGCTGATTACATGAAAGTGCTTCTGCTGGAAAGTGGAGCTCACGGGTGCTGCAGGCTCATACAGTGGAATTAGACCCAAAGGTGAAGTAAAACCAGCCAGTGTTGATAGATAATCCACATTTCTATTAGCCTACTTAGCACTTTTCTAATAGAGCCCATAGTCTAGCCTGGGAGATGAGTGGGCTGCTGTGTTATTCGTTATTACTAAGTCATGTCAACCATATATTTTTTAAAATACTCATACTGTAGCTGATCTTAGGCAATTAGCGTTCAGAACTGACTTTGAATGTGGCGATGTCAGGTGATGAGAGGCTTGTGTTTGATTGGATTTGATAAAACTCTAATCATGGGCCACAAAAAGGAGAAAAAAACCAACCTTCATCTGCGTCTGATGATTTGCTTTTATGGACTTTACAGCCACATGCTGATGCTATGTAATTGCAGTCAGGAATTAATTAAATTTTGATTGGCCTTCTGAACCAGCATTGTGGACTCTTGTCACTACTGATTCTGCTCTGTCACGTCCATCTGTGTAACTTTGTGTCAGCTGTCTATGTGAAGACCTATCTCCTCGTTTGTGTGTCTAAAGATGAAAGTGATGTTCTTGGAAATTATAATATTAAAAAGCCATGTGTATGTGTGTATGTAGGTGCACGTTGCTACTGCATGTAAAAAAAAAACAACTTTTTTTTCCCTGTTTTTACTTACTTGAAGATTTTTCCTTGCTGTGAATGGCTTTCATGTTTCCTCTGAGCTATATGGAACTAAATGGCTCATTTGCCAGAACTGAATAGGTTGTTTTATGCATAGGGTTGCACACTGAAAAGTGAAAGCACATAGACAAGGATGCAAATTGCTTGGTCATTAAAGGATCCTTTCAAAATGATGACTTGAGTCCTTTCAATGAAGCTGTTCCTTGCAGCCAACAGCGCAGATTTTGATCCTTGTGTACATTGTTGAGTAAGCAAAGGTTAAATCATACACTGAAAATCAGTGTTCATGTGCTGTAAATTTAAACTCATAGGCTTCTAGGCTTCATAAAAAATCATGCTGTCAGTGCAAAAACAACAGGAGCTCCTAAAAAAAAAAAACGAAAACACAACTCCCGACTTTTTCAATATTCTTCAGGCTCTCTGTAAGGCAAGAAAGACGATACCCATTTGGGGCTCATTGGAGCAAATCAGAATTGTCAGCACTGTGGGTTTTTACCTTTTAAACAGGGAAGATGGATAGATAATCACCACATGCCATTCTGGGGGCCAATTACACAGCTTTGTGTGAAATTGGAAAACCTGTTCTCTCAGAGCTCTAATGGATGTTCTGGTCATTAGTTATTTGAGAGTCTTCTCTGGCTGTAATCAAACATGAAACATTGCGTTAAGCGCCCATAAAAGAACAGCTGCCTCTCTAAGTGACCTTCTGTTTAAGAGAACCCAACTGTCAGCCATGTGGCGTTTTGTGACAATTATTATGTGTATCGCCATAAAAGCACTTCTTATTTCCTGTTTTTTTGCAGTGGTTGCATCTCATTTTAATGTCTTGCTCTCGGTTGTATTTACCTTTCTGGGTCTGTTAAGTGGCACTGTGCTGTCATAGCTCGCATATAAGGCAAATGCATAATCTTACCCATCTGCTCTCTCTTCTCGTCGCGTCGCTTCAGTCTGGGTGTAATTTTAATCAGCAAAATAAATTATTTATTATTTCGATTTTCCCACTATTAGGGATTCTTAAACTCCTATGCTGATGCCTGTTTTTCTCTCTCCTCCTCTCCAGGTGACCATCTGTCAAGTCAGCAAGCTCCACCTCCTCTGCCACCAGCTCCACCCCCACACAGGCAACACCCCTCCATCACTTCCCTGAGCCGCAGCTCACTGGCCAATCAAAGGAGCCCGAGTCCACCACCCACAGCCGGCCTGGCGGCTGACTTGCAGAGTACGGCGGAATGCGTCCAGCTGCAGGACAGCTGGGTCCTGGGCAGCAATGTGGCCCTGGAGAGCAGGTGAGTGAACCATGGTGACCTACAACAGAACTGAAAGATTCAGGTCCAGATGTTATACTTGATGTATTTTCACCACTTTACATGCTGCATTTTTCATTTGAAAAGTGAGGGAAGTGGAAGTTGGCATATCTGTGTGCTGCGTGTTGAATTTTAATGCCTTTTTTTTGGTCACGTGTTTCATGTGTCCTAAATCTGGTGACCTGTCTCATTAATCCACTGGCCTGTTTGATGTGCTTTTAAGACATCAGCCCATATTTCTAAAACTTACAGTCAGAGTTACCAGTCACTCAGTCTGTCATTAATGAACCAGCAGTTTGTTTTTTGTTGCCAAAAATGAGCTTTATATTTGTGTTTTTATGCTTTCTGCACATCTTTGTGATCATTTTAATGATCTGCACGGACCCATATACAGGATCAGCGGTGGAAGAAGGCACTGAATACATGGCAGTCTTAGTAGATGATAGTCGTAGCTTGCAACTTCCCCAAGACAACAGCGGGGGACTCCAACAGCCGAGGCCGTGGAACACACTGAGAATTTCACAACACAGATTTTTAATAGCTGATGATTTTATCAATGTTTTGGTGCCATTCCTACAAACATGAGATGGTCACTCTATAATTTAAGGATTTCTCGACCAATTTTTAAAGTGATATTACACTGACACATGTTCATGACATAATATAGTTCCCTATATACCAGTTCATCACATTTCTACACTTTGTATGAATCTAAAGGGGTGATTGCTAAGTCGGAGAGACACAATGAGAAGGAAAATACATGATTAGGGAGAAGTATGTGAATATCTCTGAACTTGACAGTTATAATCAGAGACGCCATAACTTAACAAGAAACTTGGTAAGCAGAGAGTGTGTTATACCAAAATCTGCTGCGCAAGACACTACTTTGTCATAAGAGCCACTGCCAAGTTTTCCCCCTGAAACATTAGTTACATCTTTCTTAATCAGTGAGCTCAAAATATCCTGGCTAATGAAGTGTGGTACATTGCGCTGTGACTCAGAAATGGCCTAGAGTAGATGATTGCATTCTAGCCTGATATTTCACTGGCACAGCATCCCCTTTCTGAGGCTCAGATGAATGTAAACTTTGAATTTTGCGTGTGGCAGCATGGGGTAACAATCTCCTATGATCTGACTGAATCAATTGGGATACGTGGTGACAGTCTCACTTTCTTGGGAAGATGTGGTGATTGAATACTAACCGCTCAATGACCTTGAGCTGTCTTAGCTATATCGACAAAACAATATGTGCACACCTATCATCAGCTGAGGCATAAATCACTATCACCACAGTGGACTCTAAATCAAGTGCTTGTCAGTGGGTGGGAACAGGGGGTTGCCGAGAACCAACTGGGCCAAAAGGGAAGACCCGGTTCAGCACATAATTATAGATGTCAAGAAAACCACCAGGTTGGGAAATGTAAACAGAAGCTCAAGAAAGTATTCATTAGACAGCCTTCAGGGGGTTTGGGGGCTGCAAAGTCCTGGCACAGCACATAAGAAGGTGGCCCAGAGTACCACAGGGATATGAATCTCTTTTGATTCCTCAACAGTGACTTGAATTTTATTTCTGATGGAGCGTAGTAGACGTGGCCATATGCGCAGACAATAAATAACTCTGTACAAGGCAGTTGATTAAAAAAGTGTCAAGTATAAATCATAATGTTATGATCTTGTTTAATATATTTCCTGTGACATCAAGACCTCCTTGAAAATAAAGCACTCATTTGACAGCATTAGCTACTTTTACAGCAATTAGCCATAATGAATTTTGTGTGTGTAACCTCCCATAAAAGTGTTGGGCTTCAAAGCACGAGTGCACTAATTTGACTCAATACCAACTAGCTTTCACAATGAATAGCTTTCAGTGTTCTTTAAAATGAGTGAAGTGCTGCACTCAGTAACTACTGCTGTAACTCCTGCTCATTATTATATGGTGAGCGAATATCACTGATCCCACTGTGATTATGCTGCCACAGCTGTGTTAAAAATCAGAGTTTGATTTTGCCTCATTTACTCCAGCAGTTTAAACATATGAAACATATACATTAAGCAGATAAAGAAAAATTAAAATGAAACAGTCATCAAATGTTTTACAACTTGAACCCAGCTATAATTTGTAAAGGAAAAATATTATCATATCCTTTTCAAATAACTGTATAAATGTATTCGAGGTGAACTTTTGTGCTAGGATCGTGTAATGTAAAGTGCTCAATTAGCTGACAAGTGCATGTTCAGCTTTATATTCGCTGTTATTCTGAAGAGCTAAGGAGACATTCAGATCCTTAAAAAAAGTGTGGAGTAGTTTTAATAAGCCCCCCAGGTTTTCCTCTTACTCATGACTTGGCTTCACTTTTCTCTGTGATATTTTCAATTAGAAATATTCAATTGAATTTCATTGTAAAATGAACTGCCATGTCTCTTAAGAGACTGGTGTACATCTGGAGTAATTATTATTGAGCAGTGCTTAATCATTTGGGTGATATGGTATCAGTAATGTTGATGCCTTTATGGTGTAAGCTATAAGCTCTGTGTGTGTTCCACTGTAGAAAAGACATGAAGGTGTCTGCTTTCCTAAATGGAAAGAGGAAGTTTCAACATTTTTAGCACTCCATTTCAATGAGATTCAAGTAGAAAAGTCGTTATGACATTTGAGGATGATTCCTTTGAAGGCCAGCATAGCCACACGTTGCAGTTATAAATGTACTGTCAATCCTCATTGGATTCATGCATCATGGGAGTCCTTTGGTGAAATGAAATTATGTCTCTGCTCTAAAATCATCATGTGTCCCTCAGATACTGCATTTTCCTCATGGAAAATGTACTAGAATTGTTCTCGGGGGTGAAAAAGAACTGCAGAAGTAATCCAAGAGGATTTGGTTTATGCGTGTGCGTGCAGAGTTGTTTGTGTGGGACGTACATGTAAATCATGACTCAGAGGGTCATGCTTCAGATAACAAAGGAGAAAGGGAACTTTTTTTTGTTCTTGTACAACAGCCACTGTGTCATGATTGCACCAGAACTGATTAGTCATGTGTAAGACACCAGCCAACTAGCCTTTTGGAAGAGAAAGGAGCATGCAGCGATGGCTGGTTACCTGCCAAAATGGATGGTGGTGTAGACAAAGTGGTAATCCTCAAGACATTTTTTTCTTTTTCTGCATGTTTTGCTTTTTATTTATTTTGCCAACATCGTTGGTGCCAAGCACATTTCTGTGGTGTTTCCAGGTTTCTGCATTATTTCCCTCTAGCCTTTATTTTAGACTAGTCTATAAACAACTGCTGCTGGTGCTGCTGGTGGTTGTGCTGCTACTGTTGCTGGCAAAATGTAGTGCATCTTTTTTAAACATGAACAGTGTTACATTATAAGGAAAACTAGATTCATCTAAAAGACACATTATAAATGTAACCTTATTGGAAGGAACCACAAATATATCTCAAAACTGGGTTTCATGCAGACTGTCTCAGACATGCTGTTATGCTATAAAAAAAAACACATCATTGTATACATAAACACTAAGCTATCAAACCTATTCAGATTCACTAAATACGATAAAATCCATGTGCATGTCTGGTGGAGTGACTCAAGATGGAACCATGCTGATCAATGGCACTAAAAGTGTGGTGACGCAAAAATACATTCACAGTGCAGAGCTAGCTCTAACAGATTAGCACTTGCTTGCACACCCACTGTTGAGAGGGCAGGTGCTAATCTGGAGGAGAGACCATAACTGCAGCAAGTGTGAAAACAAGTCACCGCAATGCCAACTCACATCTGTAGTCTTTTTTTGGCCGTATTTAAAGCAGCCTGATTATTCCAGCTCTCACCTTGAAATGCTAATGCTAATACTGAAAGCGGCTAATGGCCAGATTACATATTCGCAGGGCTTCGATTTACATTGTTTCTAGTGTGCTCTCTCACCCCGACAGCTGGAGGTTAGCCGTAGACAAATCCACCCACTCACTGTTTAGTCTTTTGTCCTCTATGAGGATTTTTTCAAATGTCATCATGATGACAAGCAATGTTGTGAGAGCAGAGGAGACCAGGCTGGCTGCTGCTTTTGTGTTTTCGGGCATCTCAATGGGACAGACAGGCGTGCACACAAACACACTGCGATCACACTGACACACAGCCATTCACTCGCTCTCTATCCCTTTCAGTCTCACACTCTCTTGATTGTCTCTTTTCCCTCTCGCTCACTCACAACACACCACACTGCTATCACTGGGGCTGGCTGGATTAGCATAGTAATGTGCCTTGTTGCATCACACTGGCTGTAATCAATTACAGCCGGTCATCCAGTGTCTATAGCTGCAGACATTTACACTAGTCTGCTGTTTGTTAATCATGTCCAACAGCATTTCATCTTTAGACCCCTTCAGTCTGCTCTTTAGAGAAAAGTGCGGGCAAACATGAAAACCATCAGCACTAGAATTACTGAAAACGCCAACTTCAATAAACGTCCCATATAAGAATTAGTCTTGGTAAGGCTGGTGCACACACTTTCAGATTGACCCTGCATTCTCAAGTACGAAGCAAAGAGGGATTTAACTGATGCAAGTATACCTGATTTTACAGTTTTAAACCACTAATGAATGTGCCGTATGTTCTTGGTAATTATACACTGATTAGCCTCAACACTAAAACCACTGACAGGTGAAGTGAATAACACTGATTATCTCCTTACAATGACATCTGTCAGGGGCTGGATATATTGGGCAGCGAGCGTACAGTTCGTCAAGCCGATGTGTTGGAAGGAGGAAAAATGGGCAAGTCTGAAGATCTCTGAATTTTGACAAGGGCTAATTTGTGATGCCAAAAACACTGAGTCAGAGCATCTCAAAAACAGCAAGTCTTGTTAGGATTTCTGGCATGTAGTGGTTAGTAACTACCAAAGGTTGTCTATGGAGGCACACGTGGTGAAACTGCTCCAGGGAGCCCATAGTGATCGCACAAAAAAAAAAGCTATTGTAGTACAAACTGCAGAAAATTGTAATGATGGCTATGATAGAAAGTTGTCAAAACACACAGTGTGTGTCTACTGTTGAAAGTACCTGCAGTTGGCACCGTGGAGTGTGCATGCCTGTTTTTTGCCTAGAGGAGAGATGGCCGCAAGGTTTGTACTGTGGAAAGAAGAGCCAGTGCTAGTATTCGTGTGGATGTTGCTTGGACATTAAAAATGGATCTAAACATTGGTGCAGATGACATATATCCCTTCTTGGCAACAGTATTTACTGATGGCAGTGGCCATTATCAGCAGGATAATGCACTCTGTGACACGGTAAAAAATGTTCAGAAGCAGTTTGAGGAACATGACAGAGATTTTGAACTGTCATGTCGGCTCACATCAACTTGACCCGACCTTCAAATTCCCAAGATCTCAATCCGATCAGGCATCTGTGGGTTTTGTTGGAAAAACAAGTCAGATCTATGGAAGCCCCAACTTGCGACTTATAGGACTTAAAGGATCTGCAGCTAAGGTCTTGGTTCCAGTTACCACAAGACATCTTAAGAGGTCTTTTGGAGTCAATGCCTTGACGGATCAGCGGTGTTTTGGCAGCACTAAGGGGGCTTGCATACTGTTAGGCTGCTGGTTTTACTGGTGTGGCAGATCTGTGAAGGTAGATTTGCATTATTCAGTCAGTTAATCAACTAAACATTGTAAATATCTATACCATTTTGTTGGATTTGTCTAGTAGCTGCTAAAAATGATACTTTGTGTATTTGTTTTTAGTGTCTAGTAGTAGTAGTCTCTTTCCTGAGAATGAAAATATAATGTATTCATAGCATTGCCCAAATAAAGGACACACAGATTTACTGCATTTATTTAGAGGCAAAACTGTCTCCAGATCATCTGCCTAACTTGCATTCGGTGTTCACCTTCCTCAGATAGAGTACATAACCCTTTCAGCACACACATACACGTCCATGTCTCTTTCTGTCTACCTCATCAGATTGCATCCACTTACACTTAACTCCCCCGATAGCCGTGTCTGTTTGCCTGCGTGTCTGACTACACGTCTGCCACCTCCAACGTTGTGCAATTTTTGACCTCAATTCATACCCAACTGCATATTATAGAGTCTGCCGCAGCTACAGTACAGATTGTTCCAGACTGAGTGGTCTGAACTTCTCTTGGTTGCAGATGCCCGGTGCATTGTCATTCCAACAGTGAAACCTCATAACCTTTAAATGGAATCCCTGTCTGATCACAATGGCACGTGTCAATTGAAGCATTGAGGAGCCAGACGATACAAATCTGACATTTGTTCTTTTAGTCAAGAATTGATCAGTGGAGGTTTTACCTCAGAGATATGCTCACAGGAGAAACAAGAAACCTGAAATATCAGCGGCACCGCTGAAATACAAGAACTGCATTGTGGTGATGATGATGTGACCTCCTGTCACATGTGTAAAATCTGTACGCCACTAATCAACTTTACTTAGAGACTAATATTCAGTCTGGAAAAAGAAGAATGCAGCAAAAGATGAAAGAATAATTTTTAGGGGCATTCAGAGCTTCCCTGAACTCTGTAGTCATGTGTTCATATTATATAATCAGCCAAAGTCTGATTATTATTAGTAAGTGTTACGACATGGATTTTCAGTCTTTAACTGCTCGACTTCAGATTTTTCGCTCAATTAGCCATTCTCAAGCTCTTTAGTACAGAATCACAGTCAGGATTAAAACAGCCTTTACAAAACTTACATTTGAGACTTCACAGATGCTGCACAAATAATTGATGAGCAAACACGGGTTTATCGGTTTACTGGTGTGTTTAAATTAGTGGTTACCGTGGCAACCAACTCCTCCAGGAGAATCTACATAACACATTAAACACGACTTGTGGAAAACATTGTGTAGGACTTTTAGCAGAATGTGAGAATAAGAAAGCAAATCGGTGCATTCTCTTGCCCTTGGTCTGTGAAATTTGACTAATTTAGCACATTTGTTCAAAGTGGTATTTAACTAACTTTTTTTTTGTCTTATGTAAGTCGTCGTTTGCCTGGGAGCCTGCATTTTATTACTATATCAGTTTAGATGTTTGTATTTAATGTATTGTTTTAGTGTTGTCCTCACCTTTTATGCAGTTTGTTTTTTCTCATAATCTTACAGCACTTAAGCACAAGATGGCCGAGTTCCAGTTGATATTAGGTGGTACAATATGGCTATTTTCAGGTGTAATTTTGTATGTTACAGGTGTGGGTGACTCATTCATGTATGAGTGAGTCAAGTGTTCATAAAGAGAAAAATCATAAATGAAGCTGTTAAGTATTTTCTGGAGTGCTAAACTACTTGGGGTGCCTTACATCTAGAGTTTACAATACTGGTGTGAAAAAAACATGTTATCAATTTTCTAACTGTATTCTTCTTTATTTTAACAAAAAACGGGCATTGCAATAAGATTATACAGTTGAGGATTGGAAGAACATTTTCAATGCATGGTCAATCTGTCCAATTTCCCTGGCTGTCCACATAAGCCTGAAGGCATTTAGGTATTAATCTCTAAGTAGTGGCAAGAGTGGCAACAAGGCTTAATTCATTTACTTAAGAGCTTTTCACGTGGGGTTTAAAAGTTAATAGGACGATCACTCCGTAGTGCATTTGATTAAACCCTCTTAATTACCCCAGGTATAATGGGCTATTAGCAAAGGCCCAGTTGTAAAAGGGCAAGTGGGAGATGATTGTTTTTATGAGGTACTTCTTGTTCACCTTTTCCAATGTCAGGATTATACAGGATAGTAGATTATAACCCAGTTCCTCCTGTGGTGTGAGCCATGGGGAGTTGTAGCATTGCTGGGTATATTGAATTTTGATGATTCTTTATGCGTTTAACTATGTAAGTTTAATTTGGAACTGTATATGACTATTGGAGGCACACTGGACACAAAACCAGTAGCAATCTGGGGCCATTTTGTCAAAGATAACCACATGATAACTGTGTGAGGTAGAACCACTGATTTAATAATGCTTTTTTTTTTTGTTTTTGTTTTTCTACAGGCACTTTCTTTTTAAAACGGGCACAGGGACGACACCTTTCTTTGGCGCAGCAGCCCCTGGGTACACCATGGCAACGGGGACTGTTTACTCCACACCTGCGCGTCCTTTGCCCAGAAACAGCCTGTCCAGGGGGGCTTTCAAGTTTAAGAAGTCCCCTAAACATTGCTCCTGGAAATGCACCGCCCTGATTGCTGTAGGCATAGCTGTGGTTCTGTCCATCATTCTCTGCTACTGCATAGGTAAGGCTAAGATAAACATAAATTGCAATGTAAAATCAGAAACAGTTTTTCATGATTAATCTCCAAATGCACAGCTCTGTTCACAACTTAATTAGCTTCTTTTTTTTTTTGGTTTGTTAGGTTTTTTTTTTGTCAAGAATGTACCTTTATTTTCAACAAAAGTTATATATTGCTGTTTAGGTTGAGAATAAAGAGTATAAAAGAAGAAAGAATGAAGGGAAATATACAATTTTAACCCCAGACATGATGCCTTGATCACGATTCTTATATTTTTCCAGTTCAGCCTTAGCTTTAAAAATGCATCATGACTATGTGGCTAATTAAAATTTTAGTAAGGGATTATTACATATGTACCTTACCAAATCTATTTTACAATTTAAATGCATGCTTCTTAAAATATGTGTTAAACAGAATATAACTAAACTCTGCTCCTGTCTCTTCACAGACAGACCTTTAAATTGAACTATTTTGTTGTCTGTGTTTAATGTCTGAATTTTGACAGCATCTTTTCAGTGCCCTATTATGTCTCAATTAGTAATGTAATGATAGCTCTTTACAAACAGCCACACAGCAGCGGCACAGGTTGGGTCAGGTGGGAAGACAAAATAGGAATATGGAACCGGGGCAGGAGATCGTGGACATTTGTATCACAGCTTTTGGTCTCATTTTCAGGAACCTTATTTAAAACTAATTGAAATTTTAAAAGCTAAAAGAGCCACATGGTATTGGTTTCAAGGAATTTAGTTCTGATGCCTGAACACCTGAACTTTAACTCAGTTTAAGTGTTTCTTTATGTCACAATCATAGACACACCTTGTCTTAATTTCACAATGTATGTTCCCTATAAAATGTGCACGTCTTATCAGTTCAATACTTTTGCTATAGCAGCTTTTTAAATTCGCTTCTCTTCCAAACGTATCCTCCACACACTCGAGTACTCACAATGTTTTGCTGCTGATCCGTTTGGAAAGAGTTCAGCAGGTGAAAATGTAATCTCTAAATTGCTCATATTACCCGCTACTCTCGGCTGAACATCTTCACTGAGGTCTAAAAACAAGATTTCCCCCTTGATTCTCTGAAATAGCAATTAAGAGCAGATTCAGCCTGAAAATCCTAGCATCCACTGACAATATTTTTTTGGAACCATATATTGTTTATCGTGCACATATTTACACTGTTAGATGCCAACTGTTCTCATATTTGTAAATTTAAAATTAACCAACCATCTAGCCAGACAAAATGAAGTTTACCCCAAGCTTTGGTTAAAAATATTGCCACTGCATAGTTTTTGTTATTGCCTGACATTGCATGTCACCTGATTACATGAAAAGCAATTGTTTTTGTGCCAAGAGCAATGTATGTCTTTCTATTGTAAGGAGAAAAAATATGACTCTGTCATCTTCATTGACATTTGACAACCTTCAGACAAGCCATTTGGTCAAATGGAACAAATGAGAGGCAAGCTGGCTAGTGTGAATGGAGATGGCATGCCTCTTAATCTCAATGAAGTTTGATCTCTGCCAGGAATATTGCTATTTCACTGCCTTCTCCTTTTTGCAGCAATTGCAGACGTCGCGATATGATTCAGTATCTGACTAAGCTCTCAGTCAGATATGCAGACATGCCATCAGTACACTTTCCAGCAAGACATTCATACTTGTTTCCCTTTGACAGGGGGGTGTGCATCACCCTCATGCTTCTGATCCCCATCTCACAGGCCGACAGGCCTTTCATATCTTTGGGGGTTTCTGTTAAAACGCAGGCATGGAGGGAGGTTCAAATGGCACAGATGGCAACGTCAGAATGGAACAAGTTTGGGAGCTAAACTCTTTTAACAAAGGAAGCAGTTCTAAACTCTTGAAATTTAACCTTGGTCCACAAAGCCTTTGTTGCACTACAACTAAAACTCGTTTATACTGTCAAACAGGAAATGCTTTTATCTCGGTCAGGAAGATAAACTAATGCTCATCTTTTAACCCTCCTTTGGGCATTATTTCCTTCAAGAAGGCTTTTGAATGCTCTGTTGTTGATGTTGTTGCTTTTTTTATTTATTTATTTTTTACAGCGTGTCAGAGCTGACTTCTAGCTAACCTTTATAATCTTGACCACAGCAATAAAGCCGTTACAGATTCATCTCTCCTCCTGCCCTCCCTTGTCATCCAAGCCCTTAATCTTTACACTGTGCCTTTCTCCCAGAGCGGATATATAAGTATTCATCCAGCTTGGAGGCAGGGGAAATGTGACACAGTTGTATAAGGAGAAATATGGCGATGTTGGGAAGATCCTATAACTAGTGTTTTATTGCTAAATAGAGAGGGAAGTGCTCTAGGAGGAGAGGTCATAAATGTGCTATATCAATATCAATATTCATAATCCCTTTATTGACTTAACTGTTTAGTTACTTGGTTGTGGTTCGTGATCTTGTATCATAAAATTAAAATGAATGTCTACATAAATATTTTACCTTTGCTCCACCGTGGAAAGGAATCAGTTGCTATTTTTGTTTGTCTGTTATAAGCTTGTGCTCATAACAGATCTGCAGAGTTTACTCAGGAAGAATGTGCAGAAACTGTCATTTGTTCAGCTGTTGTTACTAACAGTTCTAGCAGATTGGATTCATTTACAACATTTTCATCCCAACAATCACCAACTCGTTTAATTGTAGACCTGTCGAATGCTTGGTAATTGTATTTTTGGCCCGACTCCAGAGTGTGCGCCTCATCTCGCTCGGTGCAGAAATGCGAGCGAGCGAGGTGTGCACGCATGCGAGGGAGCGTGAGTTAAACAGATGCAGCCCTCTGCCACTTGCCTCAGGTGTCTCAGAGTGTTTCCACCACTTCCTCTCTCTTTCATCCACCGCCAATTTACCTGCCAGGTGCAATGACTCAAATAGCGACAATGTGCACTCATACTTTAATACTTTTCCGCTGTCAGTTCACACAGTCCCATTGGTACAAAGACAAGCTCAAAGACAAATGCAAGCACACCTTCATCTGCAGCATGTGAAATAGACCGTGTTTCCTGCACCATATTATTCAATGTCTTTTTTGTTCTGAAACCGAGGTTAAGATTTTATTAGCAATGATTTTTTTGGAAACAAGTATAGTTTAGATAAATTGTTTGGGTTATTTTTTTTTTTATTGAATACATTTGAAGACTTAAATCCTCACCAGCAGAACAGTAACAAAAATCAGACCCTGGCTGACCGACAACAGCAGCTCCTGCAATTCAAATGAGGCAAACCTGCTGAGGTGAAGCTTTCGTGTTCCAGCTCTGCAAACTGGCCTGATTGGAAGAATTTCAGCGATTGTTCAGATATAGGGAGGCCAATCAGGACCGAGTACAGGTTTAATGCTCTGATTGAATGCAGAGGGAGAAAACCGTGTGGATTTTAGGAATGGACTTAAAACTCAACTGCATAAACAAAGCATGTCCTCACTGATTATACTGTTGAAAGTAAATGAAGATAAAAGACTTCCCTTATTTTGCATTTGTGTTTCAATGTCAGAAAACTGTAGAAAATATATTAATAATGTCTAAAAACAAACCATCCACTGTTTTGCGGACCTTTTTGCCCCGTGAAAGTGCATCTTATAGATTTCTCATTTGGGATGAAAGTCATTCACTGAAACATTGTGCCACAAAAAAAGAAAAAATAATCAATTTTGCACTATTCATTTTATTTACTCAAAGGTTGCCTCATTAAGGTGCTGGCTATCACAACAATATACACATAGCAGGAACCTTTGGTTTTAACAAGGCTATAAAATCTACCAGGGCAGGTTCCTCCACCCATGCAAAAAGCTGAGTACTGTGTTGGAGAAACTTGATGTGCCAATCAAGTGCAGAAACTTCCCAAGACACTGAGCTTTCTTAAATTGCTACTGGACCAAAAAAGCAAACCTTGTGTTGGTTGATGTTGTGGTGGAGAAAATTGTTAAGCCATTTGAGTGTGATGGAGACACTATACCAGAGAACAGGAACATCTTAGGTGTACTCTAAGCTGTAGAGCTTATTTCACAGAATCCCCTGGGGAGATTTCTAGAAAGATGGTATGAAGCAGGTTCAACCATCAAACAGCTGTAACTCAATAATTTTGAGGCTGTTGAGTTACAAGTTGTTGCCGGGATTCTGTCACTCCAGATAAGCTCTCTTTCTCTCAGGTAAACTCACTAAAGATTTTTGGGGATATTAGGCATTAGAAAAGCTTCACCTGTTCTGACTGCTTTGTGAATCCTGTAAAACAGTAGTTTGCCTATTTTATTTATTTACCTATAAATCAGAAACATATTTCATTTGGCACTCTGTTTGTCTAGTAACAACACTAACAAGAATCGTGTGAACAAGGTGTGGGAATTTGCTCTGAGAGTAGCCAGGGGAGTATTGGATGTGTATATCAGAGCTCAAACAAACGTGTTGCCAACTCACAAATTCAGCCTCTTATTCATCGTCCATGTAGATGTTCCACAGGCCAAATTTTGACATCAGCGATTAAAGGCTAGCTTTTCCAGCTTCTTTCTCAGGAAGAGAATTTCTCATGGTTCCATAAATATTAATTGAATGGACCTAGGCTGCAGGAATAACTTATGCAAATTCATAAATTGAGGGCTATTCACCTCAAAGCAATTTGTTGATGAGGTAAGTAGGGATTCAGGCCCCAGTGCGCTAAGAGCAGAAAAGAGGGAAGGGCTCTCTGTGATTCTGTGGTGCCTCGGACACACAAGTGCATACCGCCACACACAGTTTCCTTTGTGGTGGATGGCTGGTGATTCTGGACACAGGATTGCAGAGCAGATAGACTCTGCATCTACAATTAGGAGCCAACTGAGTCACACAGTTTTTTTTACAGAGGGAGAGATTTGTATAAAGATTTGTTTATTTGTTGTTTTTTCGGTAAGTGGGATTTTTGTTTGTGGCATGTCAGTTACTCTGTAGGGTCACCACTTTGCCCCAAACTACTGAATGGATTGTCTTGAAATTTGAAAGAGAAATGAATCATCCTCACAGGATTAATGGCTTTGGCAGACTTACGAGTGTTTGTATTTGTGGTTCTGAGTGAACCACATGCAATCGAATTTGCTGCATATATTCAGGATCCCTGAAGGACTTTGAATTCCACGGCTATTAATTGGACACTATTGTTAATGTTTCATTATGCTGATCCTTTTTATTTTCAAATCAACCATTTCTAACATTTTTTAATCAGCCACTGTTGGTTCCTTAATGCAAAATAAATAAACAAGGTTTAGAAATTGTAATGGATTGTGTACCCAAAAATTTGTAACTGGTAGTTTAATAGGGACTGTATCTACACTATATTTGTTAGTGCACACATGCCATTCAGTGTCTCGTTTGATGAAGCAAACAATCTTCTACCAGCTTAGAGTAAGATTTCTTATTTTTTTCTTCTTGCAAATACAGCTTTAGAAAAAATATTAAAAGTTATGCAAACTTTTATTTTACCTGCTTTATTTTTGATGCAGCTAATCATTTTTCTAAGCTTATGTCCCACAATATTTGTTTCCTTTTTCTCTTTTTTTTCTAGGCGGAGAGTTTTTCATTTTAGGTTAATGCACCGTGTCCCCAGCTGAGCCTTGCAATTTGGGGCCCAGCTTAACAGACCGTGTTTCTTTTGGATTCTCTCCTCAGTAAAAGCCACCAATATGTTGTCCTAAAAACTGAAAATATGACCATGGAAGACTATACTGTGTTTGTATTTAACTTTGAGGATACATAAGACTGTTGTAGGGTGTTCAAAATATGTTACGTACATCCTATCTGATTGTTATATTTGAACTGAGACTTACTAGGATTCTAACACTGCCAAATATTCAGAAAAAGTTGAAATATTATATGTGGGAATCGGTAGAGAAAAAAGAAAGAAGGAAAAAAAGAACAGGTGTGCTCAGATCGTACAGGATTTCACATCGGGAGGTGCTCCCTGTGAAAAGTCAGACTTGTCAAAATTATTGATGAACCAGTCAGAAACCATTTCTACAGGTGATGCTGCTGATTTGTTTCAGCAGCACCTGCAAGAAAAAAAGATTCTGACACTCAGCATGGTGTTACCTGAATGTGCTGGTAAACATTATCACTCAGTGCTATCCCCATTATTTCACTGAAATTCAAGCCACCGGTGCACCTGTTCATATGATCTACCAAGGACGAGTCCTGTGTGACTCAATTGATGCCAAGCATTTCCAACAGTAGCCTTTAAAAACACACACACACTCAATTGATTTCTTAACAAAGTATCTATTAATACATTGCACATACAGTTTTCCGTCTCTTCTTGGTCTCCTTCACATTTGATAGTCTCTCTGGCCCCACATCCACCTCTCAAGTTATTTGCTGCAGTCGACATCCATCTTCCCAGCAAGCGATGGGTGTTGGAGAAAAGTTCCTCCCGCAGATCAAATGGTCGGAAATCAAGATGCTTCCTCAGCATGTTTCCTGGCTGGTGACTTTGAAGGAGATTGGCCCTCTCGCTGTGCTCACAGAAGTACCTCAGTTTCCCAAAACAACAAGAAGAACAGTTTGATTGCACCCAATACTGCGACAATAAAGCAGGTTGTCTGAATGAAAGCCAGTCACAGTTTAGTTATGTAAGAGAACTAGAGTGTTGCAGCATCTTACCCTCTCACTTCCCTCTCCTGCTGTGAGTGTCTGTCTCAATACATGGTCTTACACTTTCATCAAACTCTCTGTGTGTCTCTCTCTTCCTCCATCTTCTTCTAACACATAAAGCTGCATCTGTGTCCTTCCTGCTTTGTATTAGTGTTGGAGAAGTTACGACTTTTCCAGTGTATCTTGTGTGCTTGTCTGAAGTGGAAGCTTTTCGCCAAAATAGAAATCCTGCCTGCTGCTTTCTTAAATACAGTAACGGTTTGTGTCCAGGCACTTTGGAGCATTAATGAACCGCGCTCCCCAAGGAAACATGCCACAGCAACGGGGTTGCTAACTATTGATTGAAATGACTCTGTCTGGCCTGTATCGGTGCTGTGTTTACATAAAAACCACCCATAGCAGCGTAGTCACTGAAAACAAAATTTAAACTGAAATATTGGAAGTTAAACTGTTGTTGTTTTCACCCTGCATCGGATTCAACTATTGTGCACTCCCACTGGTCTTTTGTGCTTAAGTGGCTTGATTGTTTCTGTGCCACTATTTGGTTATTTGTTTATCTATTTCTACAAGCCCACGCAGTTATTTTTTTTTTTGTGTATTTCACAGCAATGCACCTTTTCGGCCTCAATTGGCAGCTCCAAGAGTTGGACAACCAGCCGGCTTTTGAAAATGGAGGAGTTGGGAAAACAGGGCCCACTCAGTCGAGTGTAGGGACAGCTCTCTCTGCTGATGGTGAGGAAATAAGAATGACATGTAATGCACAATATTAATATTATTTATTCTTTTGTTGGCTTCACTGGATTTTAGTTTGGATTGTATATAAAATATATTGTGTGGGTTTTAAATATTCTGAATACTAAACAGTTTAAAAGAAAGGGGAGGTTTTGATTAGTTATTGGCCAATGAATGAAAAACTTTCATCTAAAGTCAAGGGTTTCTTTAGTTGATGCATTTGAAATTTAATGTCAGAACAAAAAGCAGAATGAGTTTTAACGACACACAAATTAATTAAATCAAGCAAAGGTCTAAATAGCAATAAAGACAAATTGCGGCTGCAAAACATTTGCCTTCCACATTCAGCTCAATGCCCAGACTTTCAAATTTATTGAGATCTTTCACCTTCTGAATATTAATTAACTGATTCCAGACAGCTTTCTACTCTCTAATCATAATCTCGGACCATTGTGTATTCATCAACAAGCAGGCGGGCCATTGCAGCTCACCTTTACAGCAAAAGCCACCAAATTAATCTCTAAGCGCACACATTATTTAGAATGCATAGCCATGAAAACAATAATTGAGTTGAGTAGGCCAGGCAAAAGCTCAGTTGTTTAAACTCAACTAGATTTAAATCCTCATAAGTACTGCTAATTAAGATAGCATGAGACAGGTTTTGGACTGTTTAAAGGCAATCAATAGTCAGCTATTATTCTCCCTGGAGGTAAACTTGGCTTCCAGTCTTCACTTTGACTGAAGCTAAAGTGACAGGCAATGGCCTCATTACACGCACAACACTGAGGCATGCAAATAACTGGGGTCTGCCACAAACAGATATAGCCACAGCTACAGTATATCTATGTCCACACTCTATAATGCGTAAGAACAGAAGAAGCAGTAAAGGTATGCAAGTGTATCATCCAGCTGCATTCCTTCCTCAGCAGAGCCTTAGACGGTAGGGGTTTAAAAATGCTTTACAGCTTTTTCTTCTTAACAATAAAATGTATTCTTATAATAGCACCTCGCAAGCTAGAGTTTTTTAATTGAGTATGAGTTATATTTAAACCCACCATTTCTCCATCTTTGCCACTCGGAGGGCACAGTTTAAAGACATCGTTCTCCAAATTGTTTTGATTTGCTGTTATTGGTCTGGCAAGGTAGTGCTCAGTATATGTGACAGATTCCATTTAGACCTTATCTGATATGAAGGCTTAGTCTATGAGTCACCGGGACCAAAGTAAAAATGGAAGACTTGGCCTCTTAGTCTTATAAAAGGGCAATTATATCTGGTCATTTTGTTGTTGAGCAGTGCATCATGGACTACAGGGAACCATTACTTTTAATACTCCCTTGCTCAGTCACAATTCATTTGGAAAAGATATGACTATTATGCCCCTGTGCATGAATAAAACAATTCAATGCTGCAAAGCAAAAGATATATGAAAAATGAGAGGATAGCAAGATTCTGCGATGACTTATTTGCACTGTTGGTCAAATGGTTTAAAAAAAAAAATGTGTTTTTTCCAGTTGTTGTTGGAACTTGCACAATGTAACTTCTCAGTGTGTCCAGCCAATGCCAAACCAGCTCAATGGGGTTTAAATATGGGGACTCTGCTGCCCTTCCATCATTGTCCACTTTTCTTCTTCTGATATTTTGGCTCATTATCGTGCTCTAGGATGACCAACCAGTCGGTCTTCCTTTTTTCCACCATTTTGATAGCATTATGCTGTACTAGTTCCTGCAGTAGAGTGTAATAATCAGAAGGTGTAGTAACAAAGTCGGTTCTGATACGGGCTTTGCACAGAGACGAAGGCTGTGTGAGCGATCATTAAAAGTTGAGGCACCTATAGGAACTGTTTGCATTAACTTTCAGTACTTATTTCCATTGTTGTGAGAAAGCTGTTAATCCTTTTTCTTAATCCTTGAATATGTCTGCTTTTATTAATTAATTTATTTATATATTCATTCTTTGGGTAGTTTAGTTACTAGTTTTTGTATGATTTATTTGCTGGAATTCATACTTATTTTTGGAGTTATTCTAAAACTTTTGGATGGTTGTGTTCAGTCAATATCACCTTAACTCTATGGTTTCGGGTTTGTTTCTCTCTTATAGGAAGGACTAGCGTGCTTCATCCGGAAAACAACTCCATCGATACTGGGCAGGTGGACATAGGGAAGCGAGTGGGCCAGAGCATTCCACCGGGTGTGTTCTGGCACTCTCAAATAAACATGGAGGAACCAGGCTTTCTTAAGTTCAACATTTCAGTACAGAAAAATGCACTGATTGGAGTCTATGGACGAAAGGGCCTCGCACCATCTCACACTCAGGTAAAGGCTTTGATGTAACTTCTTTAAAATTAGGATAGTGTGAAACTGAGTCAAGAAAACCAAAACACATCGTCTTATATTTGAAAAGTCCGATTGATAAGCGGTGAAAGCATATTGCTAGAGAATGTGCTTACTAGGGATAACTTGGATGGTTCTTTCTTTGTCACTAGTGTAACTAGATTTAGGACCCCAATATCTGGTCTCACCCTTGCTGCTCTGTTCAACTCTCAACAGATTGAATTACATTTAACGTCCTTCAATGGTGGATATGAACATAAAGTCAAAACAGTGAAGATATCCTGACGTTTCTGGAAATCCTTCCTTTTGCACTGCTTATCAAATCAAACGCCTTTTTCTGTTGTTCTCAGTTTGTTTGCACATATAATACCCTGTATGTTTAATGTTTTGCATCAACAAAAATTATTGTACATTCAATTAAGGATGTAAAGATTTATTTTTTTAACCTTTTATCATTTATTTATTTGCACCTTTAGGGCACAACACAGTACTGACATATTAATCACCTTGTAAAGGCTTTTTAGCTGCTCAGTGCTCCATTATCAGGTTGTGTGCATTGGTTAATAGAGGCTTTTCACTAATGGGTGCCTGCTGTGTCTGGAAAAAAGGCAAACGGTGTCACCGAACCAAAAACCGTAAAGTTTTACGAGCTACTGAAATCTCTCACCGAACACTTTTCTTAAGAATAATTACGGTAATTATCTGTGAGTTTATCACTACGAACAAGCCTTTTTTGCTTATATCTACTGAAGAGAGTTGTGGTGGCAGGATTTAGAAATTTGATTGCATTTTCTATTATCTGTGGAAGCCATTTCACTGTGTCCTAAAGAAGATGTGGGTGAAACTGACAGATTAAATTCAGATTACATAAGGGTTGTTTTTTTTTCCTTTGCTTTACTTCTATATGAATATGGGGGCTTTTGCAAATTAGAACTCGGTGTAGTTCAATTTTCTGCTCTCAGGTTTGATTTGCCCATGTGTGTGGGCATGCACAGCTTTCACTTCCACTAAATGGCTGCCATTTGCAAATTGAAGTGTTTCCAAAATGTCTGATGTGTCACTTGAATGGCATTTCTGGGTATCTGAATGTCCAGTGTCTAGTGATGGTGATGGAAGCACTCAGACAATGGCTATTTTCCACCACACTTGACAGCAAAAGCTCTTAGCTTCACCTTCTCGACATTCTCTCTTAGTAAAGATGGGCTTCACTCAAGTGAAGACAGTTAGGGCCACTCTTGATGGAAGAGAGTCCAATGCAAGTGACAATAGGTGAGCTGGATTGCACTTTCAAGGTGAAAAAAAGGTAGCCCAACAAAATCAAAGACCAAAGGGTACTAATTAACAAGACACTACTTTTATGTCTCGAGCAATTGTTGCACTGACACTCAAGCTTGTCAATGGTGGGCACTGTGTCCATTGTTCCAAATTACATTCTATTCAGGTACTGGGGGCACAAATCAATGCATTTACTTAACTGAGCATGAAAGACCCCAATGAGAGATATTGACTGTTCGTCGTATTCACAGCTTGGAAGACAAGACTGCATTTAAGTGCAACAGCCTTTCCACCTTTCTCAAATATAGAGTTCCTCCATCTGCTATTGAGTGTCTCTCTGTGCTGATACAAACCAGAAGTTGGGAGGAACAAACTTTCCTTTTTTCTTTTTTTTTTCTTAGCAATTTGTACTCTGTTGTACGACTACGGCTTGTCCACTCAATCTAAAGGCATTCACCGCCTCTGAGCATTCCTCCTCTGTCCATGGGGCATCCAGCAGTCTCTTCACGCTTGGTCTCTTGACTGTTACTCACCCGTATTGTTGGATTGAGATGAGTTGGGGAGGGGGCCTTTCACACAAGCTAATCGAGATGTATGCACTTGGCCGGGGAGTTTAGGGTTTCTGGGATGAACTGTTTTATTACTTCTCCCTCAAGTCAACAACACAAAGAAGTCAACTTCCGCCAGGTTAATATCCCTACCCTGCCCCCCTGCTCTGCTCAGAACGCTTTAAATCACAGCATTGACTCTTCCTGCCCCTCGCTTAATGCTCTCTTCTCAGTCGTTTGCAAGTCAACTAAAAGGTCGCCTGGGCCTTTGAGTTTGTCACATTCCTGAGCACTAAATCCTGTTTTAATTCACCTTTTGTCCCCATTCTTAATCCATTTGGACATTTGTTGTGTTTCCGTGAGACAGAATATTCCATAGGTCCTCGATTATAAGTGTCTTTTTTTATCGCCCTTAATGTGGATTACAAAAGAATGTTAAAATTATTTGTAAATTCAGTTATTACTGAAATCAAATGATGAAGTGTTGACTTCCAGCTGAAATAAACAGAACATTTTAATATGTGGTCAAATTTTATAAACGTATGTGTCTGAATTTTCCGTTTAAAAGTGCTTCAGCTGTGGTGTCAGTCAGAAATCAATGGCTTAAACAGTTCATTAAAGCCCTCTGCAAACAGCCTCATCGCTGGATTTGAATTGGAGCTCTTTAAAAACAGCTACTGTGCCAATCTGTATGCATCCCACTCCTAAGAAATCCACAGACTCTGTTCCAGCCTGAGCCTTTCACTATAGGCTCAGTGCATCTGTGTCGCTAACAACTGCGTTAGCCAGGGGATCTGCTGTCTTCATCAGATGTACTCCTCTGCAGCCTGTAGCATGTTTGGGGATTTTTGTGTTACACTGTTTTCTGCTGCAGAGCTCTGTGTACCTTGCAGCTTCAGTCAAAATGAGGCTCAGGTGTCGAGCAGGTGCAGTGAGACCAGATGTACCAATTTACTCATTGGCAGGAATAACTCGTTACTCCTTGTTTACCCTTTAAATCAGTGTTTGTTTGGAGCTAATATATCGATATGCTGCTAAATTCCTCACATATAACAATAAAAAAGAAAACGCCTGAGGTCACCGTGTCTTTAAGTTGCATTTGTTCTCATTCACTAGCACAGTGCCTGTTCAGGGAGAGCCCAGGGCATTTTCTGTCCCTAAAATGTACACATTTTTCCTAAATGGCTGTTCGGGCAGTCTGCTGTTGTGAAAGCTAACAGATACATGTATCATGTTAAAAAAGGGAAGGAAAAAAGTTACTAAACACAGCACAAGAACATAAAATGAGATTAATGCCAATTAATGCACTTGCTAAATAATCAAACACAGACTCACCTTGCAAGAAAAAGCTACGTCAAATCAAATTATATGTGGTCATAAATGTTCATATTATAATCTCTTGCAGTCAGCGTTGGTTCTTTAGACATCTCACAGTAAAGTACTGTGTAACAAATATTTTAATCAAACTAATCACTCATCCAAATGATACCAAACTTGACAGTGCACAAGCATTGCAAAACGAATCATTGATTAGACTGATTCTTTTAATGCTTTGCATCTACATTCTACTGTTTATGATATCCAATGCTGATTTGCATTCAGTACAGTGGATGGTTATTTCATGGGAATAATCTTGGAATCCATATGGTTATTTCTTAGCAATCTACAGATATCAAAAGAAAATTAGCAGGACCATTATCCTCAATGATGTCAGTTTTCACTGCCTGCCAATCGAGTCTACTGACTTAAATTTGAAGAAACTGTGTAAAATGTGTATAGACGTGATTGAGAAACATGGTATTTATTTATATTCTGGACAGGTGCTCCTGAACTGAATAAATGAGAATTTTTACTATCACCATTATTACATTATCAATGTTAATTTAGCAGATTGTAATAAACACATTGCCAGCCTGTCTGTAAATTCACTCCCACCCGACGTAACAATATATTTTTGGAACATTTCTGAGCATTTGCCCTAGAGCCATATCAGCTCTATCAGTATACAAACACCTCTCCAAACCACATCTATCAACTCCAAATAGCTTTCACTGAAAAATCAACATTTATTATACTCTGAATATTTGCTGTGTACACGAACCTGTTATGGCTGTGTCTTGCTTTACAACTAACTTTGAGTCCCTGTCAGACTGTGCATGCAAAGCATTCAATATTTAAAAAGATCAAAACTTTTTGAAAACTCTCTCTCTCTCCTTTACTGTCTGATTTAATTAGGCTGACATTAAAGGTCCATCTTTTGCATCTGCTGGAATCTGTTCTGGCTTTTGTTTTGCAGTATGACTTTGTCGAGCTACTGGACGGCAGTCGGCTTATCGCCAAAGAGCATCGGGCTCTGAGTGAACCGGACACAAGGGCCCGCTCAGACCCAGTTGCCGTCCACCAAGCCGGATTCATCCAGTACCTGGACTCAGGAGTGTGGCACTTTGCGTTTTATAATGACGGACGGAACGTGGAGACCGTGTCCTATAACACCATCATCCAAGGTATGAGGACACACATCTGCTATGAGAATGAGTGCAGTTGAAATAGTGTGTAATAACATGTTCAGAAGACTTTAATTTAGCTGTGCCTGCATGAACAAACACTTAGATATTTGGAAAATCTGGCTGCCACACAAACATGCTGAGCTTTTTAAACTTTGAGAAAGCAAGGAGGCAGATCTGGGCTTCCGTTGGAGGGTAGTGGATTATTGTGCTCAACACTATAATGCAAGACCATACACAGCATTGATCCTTCCCTCCTAACAACCTCTTCAGTGTTCTGAAGTCTGTGAAATTTCCTTGTGGGTTTTGCGGTAGGAAAAACACTGAGGTTGAGTTAACGTTTTTTTCTTTTTCTATTTCCTTCGGGGGTTCCATTGATCTGGCCCTACAAATATAAAGGTATTGACGTGTGAGGTCAAAATTGCCTGGGTCCGACGCTAGCTCAATGAACATCCAATACAAGCTAGAGTAATAACAAAAAAGTTTGCCCCCTTAACGCAGATCAAAATGAGGGTCCCAGTCTTTTGGGGGTGCCTTTTATGAGCGATGGTCTGTTGAATGAACACAAGATCTGTCTGTAGGATATGTCAGATTAACTGCAACTCGGAGAGGATTTGAGTTGTAAACACTCAGGAGATTGCATTGCTTGTGTGGGCATGATCAGTCATTCAAGGGTTTGGGGTGGTGGTGAAGCGTTAGAGGAAATAAGAAAAAGGAAATTGTGTCAAGGAAATACATTTGTTGTAATTTGAAATGCCTTTGTGGCTTTTACTTAACATGGCTTACATGGGAACAATTGGTCTGCAGAATAGTGTTATGGAGGCTTAGACCTTATTCAGACGTGGACAAATAGCTGTAAATGTATGCCATGACTGATACAAGCACTGCAGATAAGAGATGCTTAGAAATTCTAAATTAATGCAGGGGGGATAAAAGAAAAATTGCTGGCTTGGCTGGCTTGCAGTATTTCACACATTTTTACAGTTGTCAAATGTTGTATTAAAGAGGAAATTTAGATTTGTTGTAATGTGACAATCTGATGAGTTATTAATTGTTGGAATTACATGCTGCTGTACCCACAGAATCGGTGACAGAGTGCACACACAACTGCTATGGGAACGGGGAGTGTATGGCAGGATCGTGTCACTGTTTCCCAGGATTCATAGGACCATATTGTTCCAGAGGTAATTGCTCAGCGTCTTTATTCATCTTAAAGGGTCAGTTCAGCTAAATTAAAAACAAACAAAGACAGCTATATATATGTGTGCTTTAGAAAATTGGATTGCCATAATATAACTGAAGTAAATATACACTTTTGTTTTTATAATGGTATGTTTGTCAGTTGGTAGGTTTCCAGCAGTCTCAAACTAGAAATGCAGAATTTGCTGTTTAGACAGTTTAAAGAGACTCCAGTGGATATATTCATGCATTGCTTGTCCACCAGAAAGAACAGCTCAAATATAATATTTGCTTATGTATTGTACAGGCCTTTTCTGTGTGTAGGTCTATCTATCTAGCTATCTGTGACCTGTTCCTGTAAGACTGAGGTGCTTCCTGTTCTGATTCTTGATACGATTTGTGTTCTGGCTTTTGGTCATCACAGGCTATAACTGTACTTTCACTTAATTGTTGCAGTTTCACATTATTGACAACTAACTCCAGCATCTTCGTGACTTTCCATTTGGAACCATGCAGATGTTCCTGCTTCCCAGATCAATTTGCTTAAAAAAAAAAAAGTGATATATAGTTACGGACAGAAGGTCCTGGGTTCAATTCCACCACCTGCTTTCTGTGTGGACAGTGCTCTCCAGGTACTCCAGCTTCCCCCCACTGTCTAAAGTGCAAACAGCTGTCTGTCTCTAAAGATAAGAGGAAGAGACTGGATGGAGAAATAGATACATTTTTAACTACAAGTTCAGTTTAAAACAAGTGCACAATCGATACGTGAATACGAAGTTGTATCTGGGAACATAATTTGCCTACCAACCACTCTAAAGACTAGGGATGGGTATCGTTTAGGTTTTATCCGATACCGGTGCCAAATCTGTAATTTTGAAACGGTGCCAGTGCTCAAACCGGTGCTTAAAGACTGGAGAACACAAAATTGGTCCAAAAACCTCTCATGTTCAGCTGGTTTTTTGTAAAAAGATAACAATGTTAGCCTTTTCTGCAGCTATGGGGCATATATGGTATCACTCTTGGCTGGAAGCAGTGCTTAAACAATGGAAAAAACACAAACTTTGTCCAAAACCTCTCATGTGTAACTGTTTTCCACTTTTTCTTTGGTCATTTTAGCCTTTTTGGCCAGGGTGAAGGGAGTATCTGCCATCAAACAAGAAGACAGCCGCATGTAACTACGACGGTGTTTGCTAGTTCACCTTACATACATTAATGTAATAATGTGGTGAGCCTACTCAACGTAAATTACACATGAACAACATTAAGCTACTCACGCAGAGAAGAACTGCTGCTGCTGCATCATCATCCTCATCATTTCTGCTACACTGGCAGGGCTAGGGGCCAGGACTCTCCTCTTCGTGTTTTTGAGGGATATTGCTAACTCCGGGTCCGATAACAGGCAACCCACGCACAGTAGATGTGCTCGGTGTGAGGTCTCGCAGCAAGCTATCATACGGCGCATTTCTGGGCTTTTAAAAAAAAACGCTATGCGTCGCCAGGTGTTTCATCGGATTTGAGGTGTTACCTCCTTTCACAGTATCACAGTATCAGCTTAAAGCAGTTGTTGCTGCTGAGTTTGCATATTTTGCTGTGAAGTACAGCCAGACTTTTGACCGCTTCGCCTTGGACATTTTTAATCTGTAGCTCTGCTCTAAAAGAACGTACGTAGCTGGCCCCGCCTACTATCCTCGGAAACGTAAAATGATTGGCTAGAAGTGTATCACAGCTCAGGAAAAAAAAGCACCGAAATAAAGCACCGAAATGTGCGCTGCTTTTCGGTCTGGTTACTACCGTTTATGTCAGAACTGGCACCGGACGCCGGTACCCATCCCTACTAAAGACTCGAGGAAGTTTTCATTCTCTTGGCTGTTTTTTTGGCAAGCTAAGCCTGCGGGCTTGCTTGCTTTACATTTAAATTATAGACAAAAAAGGAAATCAGATTTCTCATGTAACTGCAAATCTACAGTATTTCTGATGTTTTTCCCATCTACATTAGATGAAAAACAAAAAACAATACAGAATGATAAAAATGTATCTGATGTCTTTCTTCAGCCGCCTGTCCAGTGTTGTGCAGCGGTAACGGCCAGTACACCAGGGGGCGCTGTCAGTGCTACAGCGGCTGGAAAGGCACCGAGTGTGACGTTCCTGCGTCCCAGTGTATTGATCCTCAGTGCGGGGGACATGGGCTCTGTGTTGCTGGAAACTGTGCGTGCAACACAGGACACAAAGGAACCAACTGTGAACAAGGTAACCTGAAAATAAGAATTCTTCCCTCCGGATTCAAAGCAGCAAGATGCAACATATTCCTGTGTGAAGCTCGGGGGGAATCGACACAGTCCATTGGTGAAACAATTGGTGTTTTCGACTCCACCAAGCAGATAATGCTTTGGATGTCGTTATTGATACGGGTTGTATGAATTAACTCCCTCTTAGTGTTTCGAACACATCAGGGTACAAGCTGGAACAGATTGAGCAGAGTCTATTGATGCAGTCACCTATTGGAAGGCTCCACAGATGAAGACACTTGTTAAAATCAATCAGTCAATGGCATCTGTTCCTCTGCTTACTAAGGAAGTGCTCCTTCTTCTCTCTTGTCAAGCTCTTTCACCTCCCCCGTTCACTTCAGTACTTCAGTGCATTTAACTTTATTGATCTCCACGCAGACAAAAAGCAATTATAAGCTCAGATTTACAGCTTACAGGAGCTTTTGACCTTACATGTAAAATGCTATTAAGTTCTTTAATGAATATACTGTGGTTTTCTTTGAAGTGAAACAATATGGGAAGGAAACATTTATGGGAGGAAGCTGCTTTTGTAGCTCCAAGTAAGGGCTCCAGTTTGACAAATTGGCAAATAATCATTATCAGCGTCCGAGTAGATATAGAAATGCACGGCGCAATCAGAAAAACGTTGCAGGAAATTATCCCTTGTTAGTAATGGGTTGATTATGTTGGTCATAATTGCCAATTATTAACCTAGATCAGCAAGTTGGTCTGCAAATTGTTAATAGTAATTGATTGTATCTGTCTAGACACTAATTGTGCTGCTTTTCCTATCGCCTGTAATGGAGCATAATTATGCTGCCAGTATGTTGGAAGCACCCTATAATATACCGTAGAGGAGCTGGTTGAACATAGGGTGGAAAATTACTACTGGCCACCACCAAACCCTGCAAAAAATTTCAGCTGTGCCTCACCAGCCATCATCTGGCACTCAAGTATCTCCACTCTAAAATGATTTTTGGCTGGTAGCAGACTCAAAGTGGCCAGGGTAAATAAGTAGGGTTATATCCAATCTAAAAGTGGTAAACTGACATTGCTGTCACACTTGCTGTGTGTCCTCAGTGGACTGTGTGGACCCGACGTGCTCTGGTCACGGAGCCTGTCATCATGGCGAGTGCCACTGTAACCCAGGCTGGGGAGGGATCAGTTGTGAGATCCTGAAGAGCACTTGTCCAGAGCAGTGCTCCAGTCACGGCACCTTCAACACCGACTCGGGAACCTGCATCTGCGAGGCGAACTGGACAGGTGCCGACTGCTCCATAGGTCAGAACGCTTTTTCGCTTTCTTTCCACCTCCTAAAGCTATCGTGTGTGGGGTTTATGATTTTAGGTTATGTAATAATTATTATTTTCAAAGTCATTAAAGAATAATTCTATTTAATAATTCATTTTAATTAATAGTTTGCTCAGTGAAACCTTAATGTGATGAAAAACGGTGACACACACATACCTTAAGGTCAAGAAGAAATCTGTGAATTAGAGCTAAATATGAAATGAATAAAAACGTATCACACTGGATCTCAGCAAGACCATTTACCTTGAAAGGTGACACACTATTTAATACCGTTCTATTTCCTTCCTTTGCTTTCCTGTCAACCGACTAATTGAGCTTCAGCTTTAACTTGATTTTCATTAATATAATGACAGAAGTTTGCCTAGTTTGTGTCGCAGCTCTGCTTTTGGTCTTTTTCATATTTTAGGCACATTTTCAAATTCTACACATTTGCCAAAATAGAATTAAAGCAAGTTGGTGTTAAATCTGTAGTCTTTTATTGTATTTGTCTGTCGCATTGCTGATTAGTGCAGGGTTGTTCCACAAACAAGTCAATGCAGACAGTGCAGCGAGATCTATAGTATTTTTTTTTTCACTTTTTTGTGGAAGAAGTTTCTCTAACGAGTAATTGGTACCACATTTCTCTGCGTGTATTCCAAATAAACTCCCCCTCTTGCTGTGCACAGACACCGGGTATCGTAAACAGCAGATGTATAAGCCTTTATTACCGTTTTAAGTTGAAATAAAAGCTGTCTCACACAGTGCGGTGCATCTACTTCTGGTTATCTTATTAAGAAACCTAAGCAACAATTATTTAAATTTTGAATAGAAATTAAAAAAAGGAATTAGAAGAGAAATTTGTGTGATTTATGATTTGATCTTTAATAATTTACAAAAAAAAAAACACAATTTGAGGTAATTTATCACTGATGTTTTGGAAATATCATTAAAAGAACATTGAAGAACAATTTGTTTTCCTAAATGAATATGCCACGTTTTGGAATGAACATTTTAAATCAGTCATAAATCAGTGTTTCTCAGCTTTCTCACACATAAAGCACAAAGGAAACAAAATTATTCATTTGTTGAGTTCCACTGAATCATAGCCTGGGACTGCACCAACAGATAATGATGAATAGGAGTTTGGCTGACTGACATTTCTCATCTGAAGAGCCATGAATACATGTTGCTTTGGTGTTTTATGAGCACTGCTGTTGGTTACACCTTTTTTATACCACCCCGTTTCTTGTTTATTTTCACAATACAACATTTTCAACTAAAGACAGTATGTTTTATGATGAGGAAGCGTTCCCAAATGGGCAAATGGGAATAACAATACCAAATGTCTGTTTACATGACACAAACACTCTAAAATATCAGAAAAACCCCCCCAAATCTCAGCTGTTTACCAAGTGAAAGTAAGAAAGTAATTTCACCTGACTGCAGGAAACAAACTCGATACAAAGGCTTTGTTGGATATAAGGAGACAAATAATGACATGAGTCACTCATGTTTGGACATAAGTCTAGACTGAAATCTGTCCTAGTTCTGCTAAGTTCATGCTTTGCTTTTCTTCCTAAACTTTCTTTGTTAAAAAACCTACAAAACCAGCATATGACTTTGCTTAAATTGGATTACCAGATCTGATGTTATGGGTTTTGATTTGCTTACCAGTTTGAACCTAAATGATTTTTTTTTTTTTTTTAAAAAGGAAAAAAGGCAACTGCCTCATTTTGTCACAGGCTGAATAACTCAAACTGCCGATGTGATCACGCCGTCAAAGTTGTGTAGTGAACACTTGTAGCATGTGCAGATTATAAACGCAGCATATGTTCAGAACAAAAGCGTCGACTCCACGCTACTTTTGCTTGACCTGGCATATGTTCTTCTTGAAGAACAACACAAATGTATTTTTAACATCATAAATGTAATGTAGTTTTGCTGCAGCTTTAGGTTTATTTTCGAGGAGATGAGAACAATTAGTATTCCCAGCTGCTCACAGCACACCCTTTTCATTTGTTACCAGGTTTGCATTCAGGCGGTTTATCTCTCGACACAGGTAGGTGACATGATAGTTCAAAGGCTGGCCCCTCCCATCTGTTATCTGTGCGTGAGATGTAGATGATTTATTTGCAGTTCCCCCCTCTTGGAATACACTATTTCTCTGTGCGTTAAAACCAGAGAAAAACACATGCTGAGTCAAACAATTAAAACCAGAAAGTTGGAGTTTGTTTCAGTCAGTATAAAAGGCTGTTGAATATATTACTTTTGGCTGAACTTCAAGCAGAAATTAAAGCATAAGAAGGCTGGATGGTACGTTTGAGATGCCTGTGCAGGCTTTTTGAAGCAGCATGTAGCCAGTTTGGTTGGCACTCAAGAAAAAAAAAAAAGGAATTTTGTTGGTGAAAAAGATTTCTTCTTTTCTTTTGTGTCTCACTTTATTTTCTGTTTTTTGAAAGAGAAGCCATTTGTTATTCTATTAAACCTTTTGACATTTCAAACACAATCCTCTCACTCAGCAAGATATCTCAGGCTTGTCAATAGTGAGGGTGGCCTCAGTGCGGCCCACAACTTAGGGAGTTTACTCACCTGGGTGGGTGGAGAATTCCTTCGTAATTAATGCTGCGGTTCTTCTTTAATTAAATAAACTTTAATTAACAAGCGCGTAGCATGAATCGACCGCCCACAACCTCTCAGTCAGGGGCATGTTAAAGGCAGATAAACACTTTTGGACTAATGAAAAATTGATTGCATAGATTCTATGGGAAGGAGGTATTCCTTTGGAATTGAATGACTCCTCTCCAGAGGCACACTTAATATTCTACAGTGTCGGCTCAGCTTAATCAGAACCATCCAAGGTCCGTCAATCGAAGAAAAACTCTATTCAGAATGCTGGAACAGAGAGTTAAAAGAGCCTCAGTAAAGGGGATGAACATAGGAAAAGCAGCAGGGGTGGATTGGTTTTAAAAACAAAAAAAACATGAACATCTAAGACTTGTTACATTTTGGGCAGCAGAATGAAGCTGGCTAATTTGCTTTCACTGACAGCTATACCAAGTTTTAAAAAAGCACCTAACTTTTTCGTCATGCGGCTCTAAATTTTCTATAGCATTTATAGTCACTTAGAATTTGAGGACATACTTGAGCTTCTTTCGTCTCGCACACTGACGGCTATTGTCACAGCAGAAAGCTTTATGGCTCTTCTGTTCGAAAGCTTTGATTGAAGCTCTTAGTTCCAGGAAATCAACATTTCTTATTCCCAGACAAGAGCAGCCACAGATTGTTGAGCATTAGCTTTAGCCTCGTACAGACTGATTTACTTACCACCCATGGATTCAATCATTTGAATTTTGTAAAGATAACACAGATTTATAACAGCTGCTCAGTTTTTTTTCAGAACTCCATACTTGAAGACATGCTGATCTAACATTTTATAAGAACCCACTTAAATCCATAACCCTCGCCTCAGTCTGCCAAGACGCCATGCAAATGAGTGTTCGTAATATGTAAAACCTTAAAAGTGGTTGTTTTGGAAGTTTTTGGATACACAGTAATTGCAGTGTTTCATTGTTCAATGCTTTTATGGTGACGACAGGCTTTGTTTCATTTGATGGTAACGACACTTGTAAAAAAAAAACAGTTTGTGAAATAATTTGAATTTAAAAAAAATAGTTACAGGAGCTACAGCAAAAGCAAGAAATTAACTGTTGATTGTGCGCGTGCTGGAAAGAAATGTCCTTTTATTACGATACTGTCATGAGCATTAGTTTTACTGAAAATGACCCTTCTGTTTTTCTTTTCCTTCCTCTTTCTTTCTCCCTTTCCTATCCCTCACTCATGTCTGTCCCGTCTGTAGCAACTGAAAATGAAAATAAAATAAATAATAAAAACAAAGGTCGATCAAATGGACCAATACGGCAATGCCACGATGATCCATTTGGCAAAGTAAATCCATTGGGTATCCTTGTT